AAAACAATAGGCACTGACAAAATTGCCATCTGTCAGCTGCAAAAGGCCACCCGACTTGGATCCGCATGCATTATTCGCCGATACATCACACATTTGGGAAGTGTCCGACGTATGATCCCATACAACATCCAGCGGAGTGACATTGTTTGCTGTGGACTCATCTTGTTGTGTATCTAATAATAATAATAATAATACTTTAGAAACGTTTACATGATATGAGAATTGAAAGATAGCGGGCCGGATAAATGCCCTCGGCGGGCCGCATGTGGCCCGCGGACCGTGGTTTGAGGCTTATTATAATGGATGTCCTCTATCCGAAGGTTGGGAAGCTTCCAATGTTTTCATAGACTGATTCCTATATTTTGGAGTACTTTATAAAAACAGAAGTGTGTGAATCCTACAATGTATCAGTGTTCATTAAGACATGGCTAAATTGAATTGAAATCAATACAGTAAGGTGTTGTTAGGGGCAGAGAACCTCCACAAAAGTGAAAAACCCTGATTTAAGACCTTGTTGCTTATTTATAATGGAGGAAACACCTTTCTAGGAATCTCTGGATTACAGAATGACGCTGGAGACACCTGGATAAAAGGAGCAACCTTCGAATCGTGCTTTGAATGTGTTCTCATCTCATGGGTTTGCCATAAACAGGCATATATGGACTCCCATGTTGGGAGAAAGGCAGGATCAACATGAATTAAGCAGATGAATGCAGAACAATATAAGTTAATCCCGTCCGTCTTATTTGGGGAGTTTTGCTTCCGGCAGGCATAACCTTTCCTCCAGGCATTCTTCCTATTTAGACTTTATAATTTTGCGTAATGCAAGCAGGGATGCGTTCCAAGGGCAGCGGTGGAATGTGGTGGAGCCTCCCCTCCATGCGCTCAGCCCACACGCTTTTTCCCAGCTCATTCCTTCCCAGGAATCGGCAGCCACCCCCAGCCCTTTTCCCCCCTTTGATGGAGCCGACTCCACCTTGCCATTCATTCCAGCGAGAGGGTGGCTGAGGAAACACCAGGTTTGCAAAATGGTGAGAGAGGAGATTCCTCGCCTGGGCAGGTCCCTCCTTGCCTCGCCCTCCAGGCGTTTGAACTCCAGCAACAACACCGGGACCAAAGCGCCTTTCCCCCAACTCTCTCTCTTGTCTGGGAATGCCACATCCGTGCCCGTCTAACCGGCTTCCCGGCTGGGTGCAACCTGGCATGACTTTGGCAGCATACAGGGCAAGCCAGAAAGGGTGGCATGTGAGGAAATACGAGCCAAGTATAGTTTATGGCCACTGTGCCATTTGGTCTATAGACTTGATAGGTGGCATTGGGATGCCCGCTTTGGCACAGTATCCCTTGCAGTCCAGTCGTAGCTGAGTTTATGATCATAGAATGCTAGGGTTCAAAGAGACCCAGTCCTCTGCTAGGCAGGGGGATACCATTAAAGCCTTCCTTACAGATGGCCACCCAACCTCTGCTTAACAACAACAACCTGGAGTTGGAAAAGACCCCAAGGGCCATCTAGTCCAACCCCATTCTGCCAGGCAGGAGGATAGCATTAAAGCCCTCCTTACAGATGGCAGTCCAATCTCTGCTTAACAACAACAACAGCAACCTGGAGTTGGAAGAGACCTCAAGCGCCATCTAGTCCAACCCCATTCTGCCAAGCAGGAGGATAGCATTAAAGCCTTCCTTACAGATGGCCATCTAGCCTCTGCTTAACAACAACAACAGCAACCTGGAGTTGGAAGAGACCTCAAGCGCCATCTAGTCCAACCCCATTCTGCCAGGCAGGAGGATAGCATTAAAGCCCTCCTTACAGATGGCCATCCAGCCTCTGCTTAACAACAACAACCACCTGGAGTTGGAAGAGACCCCAAGGGCCATTTAGACCAACCCCCTTCTACCATGCAGGATGGTACCATCATAGCCGTCCTTACAGATGGCCAGGCAGCCCATGCATAAGTAGTAGTAGTAGTAGTAGTAGTAGTAGTATTAGAAGAAGAAGAAGAAGAAGAAGAAGAAGAACCATCTAGAGTTGGAAGAGACCCCAAGGGTCATCCAGTCCAACCCTATTCTGCCAGGCAAGAAGATACAATCACATATGTCCAGACAGTCTCTGCATGATGATGATGATGATGATGATGATGACGATGACAACCACCACCACCATCTTAAGTTGGAAGAGACTCCAAGGGCCATCCAGTCCAACCCCATTCTGCCAAGCAAGAAGATAAGATCAAAGCCCTCCTTACATATGGCCAGACAGCCTCTGCATGATGGTGATGATGATGATGATGATGATGATGATGATGATAACCACTACCACCACCACGTTAAGTTCGAAGAGACCCCAAGGGTCATCCAGTCCAACCCCATTCTGCCAGGCAAGATTAAAGCCCTCCTTCCATATGGCCAGACAGCCTCTGAATGTTGATGATGATGATGACGACGACAACAACAACCACCACCTTAAGTTGGAAGATACCCCAAGGGCCATCCAGTTCAACCCTATTCTGCCAGGCAAGATACGATCAAAGCCCTCCTTACATATGGCCAGACAGCCTCTGAATGATAATGATGATGATGATGATGATGATGATGATGATGATGATGATGATGACAACGACGACGATGACAACAACAACAACAACAACCACCACCACCTTAAGTTGGAAGAGGCTCCAAGGGTCATCCAGTCCAACCCCATTCTGCCAGGCAAGAAGATAAGATCAAAACCCTCCTTACATATGGCCAGACAGCCTCTGCATACTGATGATGATGATAATGATAAAGATAATAATAATAACAACCACCACCTAGAATTGGAAGAGACCCCAAGGGCCATCCGGTCCAACCCCATTCTGCTATGCAAGAAGATACGATCAAAGCCTTACATATGACAAGACAGCCTCTGCATAAGGATGATGATGATGACGACGACAACCACCACCACCACCTTAAGTTGGAAGATACCCCAAGGGCCATCCAGTCCAACCCCATTCTGACACAGGCAGGAAGATATCATCAAAGCCCTCCTTACATATGTCCATCATCATAAGAAGAAGACCATCCAGCCTCTGCTTAACGACAACACCACCACCAACAACAATAAAAACAACAATAATAACCACCTGTATTTAGAAGAGACCCCAAGGACCATCTAGTCCAATCTCATTCTGCCATGCAGGAAGATACCATCAAAGCCCTTCTCATATATGGCTGTGGAGTTTAATTATATTGGGAGGCAATAATATCATATCATATCATATACATGTCATATTTATAATATTATAGTGTACTACAATATACTACTACTAATAATAATGCAATATTATAATTATATATCTTATATTACATGTAATATTGTGTGGTTTTGCGCATGCGTTGTAATGTAATTTTTGTTTTTTGGCTTTTTATGTCCCTTCTGCTGTGTTTTCCAGTGTTTTTATGAGCGATGCTCACTCGTTGGCCTGATAGGTGTATTGTGGCCAAATTTGGTGTCAATTCATTCAGTGGTTTTTGAGTTATGCTAATCCCACAAACGAAAACTACATTTTTATTTATATAGACTAGCTGTACCCGGCACGTGTTGCTGTGGCCAACCTTCCCTCCCTCTTTCTTTCTTTCTCTCCTTCTTTCTTTCTCTCCTTCCTTCCTTCCCTCCCTCTTTCTTTCCTTCCCTCTTTTTCTTTCTCTCCTTCTTTCTTTCTCACCTTCCTTCCCTCCCTCTTTCCTTCCCTCTTTTTCTTTCCCTTCTTCTTTCTTCTTTCTCTACCTGTTTCTTTTCTCGCTTCTTTTGCTCTTTGGTTCCATCCTTCCTTGTTTCTTTCCTTCCTTCCATCCATCCCTCTTTCTCTCTTTCGTTCCTTCTCTCCTTCCTTCCCTCTTTCACTTTTTTATTTCATTCTCTCCTCCCTTCTTTCTTTCCTTCTTTCTCTCCTTCCCTCCTTCTTTTCTACCCTTCTTTCTCTCCTTCCCTCCTTCTTTCCCTCCTTCTTTCCCTCTTTCTCTCCTTCCTTCTCTACCCTTCTTTCTTTCCCTCTTTCCTTCCTTCCCTCCCTCTGTCTCCCTTTTGTTCCTTCTCTCGTTCCTTCCCTCTTTCACTTTTTTATTTCATTCTCTCCCTCCTTCTCTCCTTCCTTACTTCTTTACCCTTCTTTCTCTCCTTCCCTCCTTCTTTCCCTCTTTCTCTTCTTCCTTCTCTACCCTTCTTTCCTTCCCTCCTTCTCTCCCTCCTCTCCTTCCTTAATTCTTTACCCTTCTTTCTCCCCTTCCCTCCTTCTTTCCCTCTTTCTCTCCTTCCTTCTCTACCCTTCTTTCTTTCCCTCTTTCCTTCCTTCTCTACCTTTCTTTCTTTCCTTCCCTCCTTCTCTCCCTCCTCTCCTTCCTTCCTTCTCTACTTCTTCCTCCTTCTTTCCTTTCTCTTCCTTCCTCTCTCCCTCTTTCTTTCCTCTCTCTCCTTCCTCCTTCCTCCCTCCTTCCTTTCTTTCCTTCTCTACCCTTTTTCTTTCCTTCCTCTATCCTTCCCTCTTTCTCTCCTCTCTTCTCTACCTTTCTTTCCTTCTTCTTTCTCTCCTTCCTCCTTCTTTCCCTTTCTTCCTTTCTCTCTTTCCCTTCTCTCCTTTCCTTCCTTCCTTCCTTCCTTCCTTCCTTCCTTCCTTCCTTCCTTCCTTCCTTCCTTCCTTCCTCCTTTCTGTGTATGTGTTTTTTTTGTGTGTGTATTCATATATGTGTGCATATATGTGTGTTTGTGTATCTATATGTGGTTTTGTGCGTGCATTGTAATGTATTTTTTGGTTTTTTGACTTTTAAAGTCTCTTCTGCTGTGTTTTTCAGTGTTTTATGAGTGATGGTCACACCTTGGGTTAGTAGGTGTGTTGTGTCCGGCTGTTAGGAATGGTGGGAGTTGAAGTTCAACCTCTGAGGATGCTTGCCATAGACGCAGGCGAAACGTCAGGAGAGAATGCTTCTAGAACATCAACACTTCTTTGCTTCTCTCCTCCTTCCAGCCCAAACCCACCAAAGGCCGGATGCGCATCCACTGCCTGGAAAACGTTGACAAAGCCCTGCAGTTCTTGAAGGAGCAGCGAGTCCACTTGGAGAACATGGGCTCCCACGACATTGTGGATGGCAACCACCGCCTCACCCTGGGCCTCATCTGGACCATCATCCTCCGCTTCCAGGTACAAGGCAACCTTCTTTCTCCTCCGAAGGTGCTTCCGTTGACTCTCCATGTCTTACCTTAAAGGGCTCGACCACTGGGGGTAGACCTCAATATGGTGGACCCCTTACAGAACATTTTGGCCACCCTAATAACCACTTTGGTTGCCCCCGGTTGCATTGGAATGACAATAGGAAGCAGATTTATTTATTTCGTATCAATAGCATTGCATAAATTAGTATAAAACTAGAAATTAAATATCTTTTGACCAAAAACGGGCAACAGCAACGGCATTGTCGGTAGCCTCCAACAATTCTTCCTCTGTACATGAGGCAGGGCATAGTGGACAAGCATACAGATGCGGAGCAGATGACAACATCTATGTCAGAGCTTGGATATCACTAATTTAATTATCTAGAACTGTGTTTCTCAACCTTCCTAATGCCGTGACCCCTTAATACAGTTCCTTATGTTGTGTTGACCCCCAACCATAACATTATTTTCGTTGCTACTTCACAACTGTCATTTTGCTACTGTTGTGAGTCGTCATGTAAATATCTGATATGCAGGATGTATTTTCATTCACTGGATCAAATTTGGCACAAATACCTGATGTGTCCAAATTTGAATACTGGAGGGGTTGGGGGGATTGATTTTGTAATTTGGGAGTTGTAGTTTCTGGGATTTATAGTTCACCTACCATCATCAAAGAGCATTCTGAACTCCTCCAATGATGGAATTGAACCAAACTTAGTCCACAGAAGTCCCATGACCAACAGAAAACACTGGAAGGGTTTGGTAGACCTTGACCTTGAGTTTAGAAGTTCTAGTTCACATCCAGAGAGCACTGCGGACTCAAACAATGATAGTTCTGGACAAAAATTGGCACAAATACTCAATATGCCCAAATGTGAACACTGGTGGAGTTTGGGAGAAATAGACCTTGACATTTGGGAGTTGTAGTTGCTGGGATTTATAGTTCACCTACCATCAAAGAGCATTCTGAACTCCACCAATGATGGAATTGAACCAAACTTGGTCCACAGAACTCCTATGACCAACAGAAACACTGGAAGGGTTTGGTAGGACTTGACCTTGAGTTTAGGAGTTCTAGTTCACCTACATCTATAGACCACTGTGGACTTAAACAGCGATAGTTCTGGACCAAAATTGGCACAAATACTCAATATGCCAAAATGTGAACACTGGTGGAGTTTGGGGGAAATAGACCTTGACATTAGGGAGTTGTAGTTGCTGGGATATATAGTTCACATCCAATCAAAGAGCATTCTGAACCCCACCAATGATATGATTAGGCCAGACTTGGTCCACAGAACTCCCATGACCAACAGAAAGTACTGAAAAGGTTTGGTGGGCATTGACCTTGAGTTTGGGAGTTGTAGTTCACCTACATCCAGAGAGCACTGTTGACTCAAACAATGATAGATTTGGACCAAACTTGGGACAGATACTCAGTATGCCCAAAAGTACTCCGTATGCCCAAAAGTGAACACCAGTGGAGTTTGGGGAAAATAGACCTTGACATTTGGGAGTTGTAGTTACTGGGATATATAGTTCACCTCCAATCAAAGAGCATTCCAAACCCCACCAATGATATGATTGGGCCAAACTTGGCACACAGAACTCCCATGACCAAGAGAAAGTACTGGAAGGGTTTGGTGAGCGTTGACTTTGAATTTAGGAGTTGTAGTTCACTTACATCCAGAGAGCACTGTGGACTCAAACAATGATAGATCTGGACCAAACTCTACACGAATACTCAATATGCCCAAATGTGGGCACCGGTGGAGTTTGGGAAAAATAGACTTGACATTTGGGAGTTGTAGTTGCTTTGATTGATAGTTCACTTATAATCTGAATCCCACCAGTGATAGAATTGGGCCAAACTTCCCACACAGAACCCCCAAGCCTTGAAGAGACCCGCAGGTTGAGAAACACTGATCTAGAACCAGCGACTTTGTGGCAACAAGGAAGTATTTCAAAGCAAACACAACAAGGAAGAGCTGGGTTACTTTATTTCTGTTTCCGGTTGCGCTTCAATGTTGCTTTTCCGAGGCCTTTGACTCTCCTGATTGACCCTCCCCTTCTTGACAGAAATCGAAAAAGGGACAAGCGGTCAATGCCAAACAAAATAACATTAGGAAGGACCACCCAAACTCTAGGAAGACCCTTAAGACTGTAAAGACTGTCCAGCAGTGAAACTAAGCCCCTCGGAGGGAGGTGGACTCCCCATCTTTGGAGGTTGGACAATGGCCATCTTTTGAGAGTGCTTTAGTGGTGTATTTCTGCATGGCAGGGAGTTTAAACGATATGTGATTGGAGAATAT